GCAGTAATCCTTTCGTATTTAATTGTGTACTTCACTGAACAGTATTAACACATTGTTGTGACCTCATCATTTGTCAGTAAATTAACATTGAATTGTGTCCATCGATTAGATCTAGACCACAAGATTTTGTGACACTCGATTTCGATGCAATTATTATTATTTGAAATATTTATTCACATGGAATTTGTTAACATATTTAAATTGCATTTTTTGTATGAAATGAAAAACAGTTTTGTTTAAAATGATTAATTGAATTTTAAATTTGTTGGAAAATTAATTATTTTATAGATATTTTCTATTGATTTTAGTGATATGTACTCAAGTAATACAAAATATTTGTTTTCCAATTTTGATTTGAAAATATAGATTAAGCACTAAATACAAATATCAGTAATTTCCCGTAAATAACGCTTTATTTTAAAATATTGCAATTCCTTGACATTTTAATGTCAAGGAATCGACTCCGCCTTGAACCTTGACAGCTACGCTCATTCCTTGACAATCAAGGTGAAACCTTGACGTTTGGTCACTGTACTTTGGACGCGTTCAGTCACATCGCAGATTCAACCAAAAGTCCGGAAATTTTCCGTAAAAGTCTGCAAAATGTTGTCATCATTCAGGACCAGACATGGGTTGACATACTTATCATGGTTGGCACTAGATTTGCGTCCATACACACCGGACAATCATACCTCCCGGTGCTCATGACACCGTTCTGTTACGGACCCCACTTTCAATTCACTAATATATCGCAAGTTATGTGAGTTTTAATATAATTTTTATGAAAAATATTTGTAATTATTTGTATGATTAGTACACAACGTCTATACGAGGCATCACTTTTGCAGCGCTGGTATCTCACGAGAAATACATTTTATATGCAAATCTTCAAAACTATCGCCGAAAACAGTATTTTTATGGACAAACCTGTAACCGATTTCTACGCTATAACGGTCGACCCCTACCAACACTTGACTATCATTGAAATGCAATCATTATTTTTTATGACAATCTATTTGTTAAGTATTTGTTTAATTGCATTCATGTTTGAGTGTATGGTTAGATTATATACTTATTTTACAATTGTTTATTCAATTAATAAATATATTATATAAGTTAGATTAATTAAATTTGATTATAACATTAATTTGTTATATTATATGCTATAAATATGTTTGTACGAGAATATTATGTTATCAAATGTTTATGTAATTTGTTTATAAGCCCGATTATAAATTTCTCAAGCATTTAAATAATCAGTATATAAAATTAATTTTAATTACTGAAGTTTTTAATATTAAATTAGATTATAAATAAATATAATCCAGTGTAATTTTTATTTTAATTAAAGCCCTAGAATAAATTGTGTATTATCCTTAATTTCTATTGTTTTAATTTGTATATTGTTTTATTGGCAGAATGTATTTATATATGTGTAAACTTAAAACCATTTAAAGGTTTTTGCTATGTAGCGTTTACTGTATATGAAATATTTATTAAACTTCTA